TTTAAATACATCTCTTGTGCTATACTAAGACACTTGATAATATCCCTCATTATTATAACCTGGGAAAGCATGAAAGTAAAGCCCGTATTTTTACTGATTTGCTTTTTAGGATGGGGTTCAGCTTTTACTCAATGGTATGTGCCTCAAAAATGCTTAAAGTAATGGCTGTGCAAATACTTTTTCAGCCTGTTGCAGGTGCTTTTCAAGGAAAGGCAAGTCAATTTGCTCTCAAACTGTAGAATGGTCATAATTGCCATTTGTTTACGAAGTCCATCATTGCAGACACTTTATCTTACAGACTACTTAACTTTCTTAGGTATTCTGGAGTTTTTGCGCTGGTAACAAGATTTTTAAATCAGGCAGAAAGAGAGAGTCCTAAAGCTGCTGCTGTCATGTTTCTGGGAGCAGCTAAAGAGATAGCACTTCATAAAGACCCTGCTTTGTAAGTATCCAGTTCCACATCTAGAGTGTAATCTTCATTTGCTTCTCAAAGGAAGGAGACTAAGTGAGAGAGGTTTTCCATTTGTTAAGAGTAAGGACAGTATAAAGATCACAGCCCTGGCTTGCAGCACAGTGGGAGGAAAATGAGTGCACCTGAGGGAGAAAGGAGATTGGTTACAGGGAGGGATTTGGGGGGAAAAGAGAAGGTTAAAGGTTGGATGAGGAGAGGAAGAAGTTAAGTGGGATTGAGTCAGGAGGAGGGGAGATGATGCCCAACAAGGGGAAGGCATCTGAGATGAGAACTGGGAGGAGGGAGGGTGACAGACAGCAGATGGTGGCAGGTGGGGTTAATTCCCCAGGAGAAGGTTACAGGGGTAGGGGAGCTTTCCTGAGTGGAGAGAGCACAAGCTGCATTGTGTGAAGAAACATCTGCTGCTGAACTGGAAAGAAGGGTGGATGTGGTGTTCCTTGGGTAGTAAGTTTTAGATGCCTCCCGTAAGTCTGGAGGCTGACCTGTCAGCTGGGAGGACTGCATAATAAATAAATAAAAACAGAGGTTAAATACTTCAGTGTTTGCTACTTGTGCTGTTTATTTTCTTGTTTATATCATGGCTGTTTCATGCTTGATTACTGTCTAGCTTGAGCAAGGATGCAGAGCTTTGCTTTGCAAAACCTAAATATTTTGGGGCTTAAATTCAAGGATTTTTATAAAGGAGAAGTAAACGTGGTCTGGGTTGGTTCAACAGGCCAGAAACAGCAGCTCCTCTGTAATTCTTTCTGAGGAACTGTCAAGGTTTGCAAGGAGCAGGCTGGATACGTTATTTGGGTAGGTCTCTCTTTGTACACTTATTGTGAGTTCACTGTAGTTACATGGGATGTGGTTTGGCCCTCGTGGGATGATATACAGCCCTTCAGAGGCCCTGTAAAAACAAAGATGTGCCCACGGTGGTCTAATACAGCAGGTTAGAAGGCTTGGTACTGCTTTACTTTGCTTGGGTCAGGGGGGTGGTATGCTTCAGTTGGTTAGGTACTGCTTGTAAATCAGTGTTAATTTTAGAATGTGTTTTACACTTTAAGCACTTTTTTCATCTGTTTGGAATAATTTTTATTAGCATGATAGCTCCCAATGCTTTTTAAGAAAGTGTTTTCTTATAACAGTTGAGTATAGAGAAGGGGAAAAAGCAGGAAAACAAGCCAAACATTAATTAGTGCTTTTTTCCTCCCCTCTTAGAAGCTGGCAGAACCTTGGTCATACTGCTTCATTAAAGATTGCTGTCCCTTGTCTGTTGCAGAGGTAAGACTTGTCCTATCATATGATGAGATGGCAATGGGGTGGTTGCTGGCTGCAAACTTTCTGCTTGCATTTAAAATGCATTTCAAATGACTTATGCAAAGGCATAAAGAAAAAAGTGAATGCTTTAGCTCTTAAAAGCCAAAAGTAAACTTGCACAGGTGTATAATCTTATGGTTCTGTAGCATCAGGAACTCCTTATCGGGAACACGACCCCATTGTACTGTCTTAGGTATTGTTTGAGCAGAGCAAGAGTAGCCTGCTGCTGCCTGCGTGTAGAATGCAGATGGGTAGGGACAGGCAGAAGAATACAAACAATAACATGCACCGATCAGCCTAATGACCAGGGACCTCAGCGTGATTATCAGGTTCTACAGTTGTACACTACAAATCGGGATTTTTAGAAGCTCTGTTGAATATTAGTTCCATTCTGTGAAGGACAAGAGCAATACCTGCCTTATTTAGAGCCACGTAAACATTCAAACCCTTCTTTGTTGCCTCAAAGGAGAGTAACTCAATGGGGAACTCAAAGCCAAGATGGATTACTTTTCAGCTGTAGTCTAGGAGTGTTCTGTAAGGCCAGACCAGAAGGTGGTGTCAGGTAGCTACTTGTGGTTATTAAACCAAAGAGTAAATAGTGTCTGTAAAAGATCAAAACAGCAGCCTTCTAGTACTCCACTGGGATGGAGTAGTCAGGGATGTAACATAGTAAAGTTCCCCCAGAGGCTGATGAATGAGGTCATCTAGCTCACTTGGCTTAATTCATTTCTCATTTTAGCTTTATATTTCACCTTTAACCCGAAATTCACTTGCAACAGAAGGTTAATGAATTAAGAATTAACTTTTTTCAGGAGCACTCAAAAACAATTATATAGTCTCACCTCTTATTTGAAACTAATGACAGGTTTAACCTAAATCCTGTATCAGTTTTCATTTTAAATTACTGTTCTTGAATTTTTTAATTTCTTACTTTAAAAGAACAGGAAAAGGAATTTTTTGCCTCCCTCCCCCAATTTTAAAGGAGTGAACTCTTCTTTGTGTCTGTGTGTTATCTCCAGTTTTCAGTTAAGACACAAATGGTTTCACTAGCTGTGAAGCTGCCAGGAGCTCAGGTTGATCAGGGTGCCTATCGGGTTCTGCAGCGTTTCTCGCATACACTCACTGGGGATCTTTGTTTTAAAACTTAAGACCACAGAACCTTGGTTTCACTGGTGTTTAAGAAATAATAACAAAAGAGCAATACCATTATTCACTACAAATCTTAAAGCACAAATTTAAACATAGATCCAAACTGTCTGATGTTTAACCAAAAAAACCCCCAAACTTCTATAGAATACTTTCCTATAGGATTAAAAAAAAAAAATGCAACAACTTAACAGTAATTCATCTGATTTCAAGAGATTTTGGTTTTGTTTTTTTTTTCTTTTCAAAACAGGATCACAACACAACTTCAGAGGATGCTGGTGTTGTGTGACTTTACAAAGAATTTGTATGAAAAGTTTGTTAACTTTTTTCAGTCCATCTCACTTCCATGTCACTGTTTTGGCTTCTCAAATAGGTATGTTCGTTGGTTTTTGTTTACAGGATATATTTTTATACAGTTGCCTGAGTTGAAAACAGCTCTATAGAATAGTTCTTTCACTGATAGTGTTAGGTGTGAGCACTTCATAGGAAGATTTCAGTATTAGCTGCTTTGTATTTGTCCTGTCCTTACAGGAAAAGTTGTTGTTTGATGCTATGGCTAAGTTGTTGTCCATATAGCTTTCTTTTTTCTTTTTTTTTTCTTTCTTTTTTTCCCCCCAGAAGTGAGCTGTAAACCTCAAAATGTTTTATTGGTAAATCTTTGTGTTACTTAAGGGAAATAAATTGCGGTATACAAACAATGTAAACCTCAAAATGTTTTATTGGTAAATCTTTGTGTTAAGGGAAATAAATTGCGGTATACAAACAAAACATGGTTAAAAATTACTTTATTTTTTGTACTTCCAGCTTGAATGTCGTGCCATGGGACCATGTATTACTGACCACGGTTTTAAAAGGCCAGAACATCACTGGTCAAAGAACACAGAAAGGAAGAAAAGTATTTCTGTGGGAAACACTCCCTGTTATAGAGGCTCGAGTGGAGAAATTGGTAGACAAAAAGAAGTAAGATTGGTTTGGTCTTGTTCTGGATTTTTCATTTTATGAACTCAACTTTTACATTTTGCACGGTATTGACTGCAGTATAGTGTTTCCCTAACATCTGCAGGAGTTTTGTATAATGGGGACACATACAAAACACAGACACATTTGAAGCTGTTCCTGCCCCTTACTTATCAACAAGGCCAGTAGCTTTTTGAAGTTTTTCAGAGCAGAATCAAGCCCTTTGAACACTTCAGGACCAGAAAAGAATGTTGAAGTGGATAACTGTTTCCATAACCTCAGTAGGTTTTAGATGTTGATGTTTAAAACAAATTCTGTTCATCAAAGTCTGACGAGGTGGAAGACAGCAAAAAAGTGCATTGTGGTATCTCGGTCTTCAGAAGTCTGTATTCAAAGGAATACAGTCCACTTAAAGAATTAAATTGAAAGGCAACCTCCTGTTTTATTTTGCCAGAGTACAGAGAGAATCTGTGGACAGCTTCTTGGAGCTTATTTCATTTCCAGCTGTCTCTTTCTGCCAGTTGTATTTCTATCCTATTGTGCAATGTCTCTTGCATGGGAAGATCTACTGTTCTGCTTCGTTAATTGTAGTAAATATTTGATTGACCTGTACATAGCTTTGCACTTCCTTCCTCTTCCTACTCACCCTCTTTTTTTTTTTCTCCTCAGCTATAAAGAAGTTGTTCGCTACCTGAGAGCTGTGAAATGCAATGATACCAAAGGGTAAATGGCTTTTTTCTTTTTTTTTTTAATTGTTTCTTTGCTGTGTCCCAGTCTGTGTTTCTTCAATGTGTAATAAACTGGCAGAATGAAAAGCAGTAGGATTTTGGTGGCTGTTTTCTAAGTGAGAGTAATATTGCATTGCCTAACTATTAACTAACTTCTGCCTTATTGGATGTAACTTATTAGTGGTCAAGCGTAATCAGATCTATACATACATATTGTAAAACTTTCATGTTAATGAAAATCAAATATTCCTTTCTTCCTTCTTTCCAGGTTAAGAGATCTTCGAGATATAATCCCATTCTATTTGTGTAAAACCGGAGACTTCCTCGATGCTGCGCATTCGCTGTTGTTTCCCGTCAATAGCCTCGCCTGCTGTACTGCCTGCCGGATAACGCCTTTTCAGTTCGAGGTCTACCTGAAGATGTTCAGAACAGGCAGTGTCCCCACTGGAAAGGCTATGCTAGACTCTGGGCCCTGGATTACAGTTGGCAAGTGTGATTTCTTGCTTACATATGTTTAGAACCTTACTTAATTACAGCTTTTACTTTTTCATTAAATCTGGTAACATTCGGAGGGACTCTGAACCCAACTATAAATTGTCCAGACTAAAGCATGGTACATAACACTAGGCAAGAAGAATGTCTTTATATTTGAGCATGAATTTGTTTAGTATACTTCACACAAAATGCTAATTTTGTCAGCTGTGAAGCTGTTTTGCTGAAAGCAACCTATTAAAATAAAATACAAAGCTCTATTACATCATGGCATTACCAATGGCAGTGTGTAACTTAGCTTTATGGTATGTCTCAGCCTTGACCTTGAGAATAAAAGCTTCCTGATGGAAAGGGTTTCACGATCTGTGTATTACATTCTGTCATTAGTTCAGCCACTGATAACTGTGATCACCTGTCTTGGTGCGTGCTACTTGTCAAGGTGTATTCTGAAATGAAAGATTTATTTTGGAGATGTTCAACTACTAGTAGAATTCTTAGACGGATGAGATACCGACAGTGTGTATCGCACTGTACTGTGGTGGGATGTACGTGATGAAGACTCGGTTCTGGATTACCTGCTGTGATGGCTTAGTCTAAATTGTATTCAGTTCTTTGCAGCTTTCCAGAATAGCATTTTACAGTTGATGTTGTTTTACTGTTCAGAACCTACAAAAAATTGTAAAATAGCTGTAGGCACTCATTTATTGCTCTTTGTTAGGTTTCTGTAGAAACATATCTGTAACTAAGTTAATATCTTGTTTGTGTTCACACTCTATAGTTATTCAGGGAATGTAAGATATGTTTTGGATTTTTTCTTCTTGCAGGGTCTCCCTTGAAAGATGGTGTTCTAGTTAAGCAGGCGCTCAAACTCCTTTACAGCAATGTGTCACTATACAGGAATGTGAGTCTGTATTAAAACTGTGTTTCTGTGGCCCATCGAGTGTTTCCGTATATTACCTGTTTTGTCCAGTTGCTTCTCTAATGCAAGGATTTACTATCAGAACCCTCTTCTCTCCGAATATTTACACCTCTGTGAATAGATTTGACTTTGTAAACAAATGTTCTGCTGTGTTTCAGCCTAAATGCTGGAGTTCCCTCATCATGATTTTGGGTAGTAGCAGTCTGCTGGAAAAAAGCGGGCACCTACATCCCCTATCCCTGAAAGAGCCACCGCTTGACTTCCAAAAGGTAACTGGAACGATACTGTGAAATGAGAGAATCTGTTGTCTTGGTTTTATACCAGACTTCATTTGATGTGGGCACTAGCTCATTCTTCTAAATACTAAGGTTAACTTCACAGTGCCTCCTCAAATACTCCTGTGGCATGTGCCAGATGTAACACTCGGCAGAACGCTGTGATTCAGGAGTGTTAAATGCAGCTTGCAGCTCAATGCCTAATACTGATTCTATATCTTTTAATGTTGAGATGGATCAGATAACAAAATGGATAGGAAAGCAGTTTAAGAAAAATGTGTTCAGATAATCCTGAAGAGTCAGTATCTGGGTATTTTCTTCACAAGAACAGAAATAACTGTCTGCTAAGCATATAGGTTAAAATGAAGAGGTTATGCGATATGGTTTGGTTAGCGCTGTAGAGCCTCAGCTTCCCTTGAGTATGGCGAACAGTCAACCGCATCTGTAAAAATGCTGAAAAAATAAGTAAAAGCACATTAAGGAACCATCTTGGGCGCTGTGTGATGTTTGTAGAGTGTCTGGATACCCTTCCTCTTTCCTCGTGACTCATTACTTCTGTTGCAGGGAGTGCTCGCTGCCAGCGGCGGCCTTTTGGAGGAACTGAAGGCAAAAATTAATGTTTCTTTACCACCTGCTCTTTTCTCTCCCCATGTAAGTGTGCACATGGCAATAAGGAAACTTACCATTTGTTTTATTGTGCTTGAAGATACAATAGTATTGAAAACAGCTGGATTGTTATGAAAAGCTTTTAAGAGGGGGCTTGAAGGTTTTTTTGGGGGGAATCAGCGTAAGACTTCTTAGCACAGCCTAAAGGCTAGAGCAGATATCTGAAGGTTGGAAAACTATTAGGGTCTGTTCTGGTCTGACACCATCTTCAACCTAGGACAAGTCTTACTTCATCACTGTCCAAATTTATGCATTTATGAAGTGGGAGGGTTGGTAATAATTGATTCTGTCTTAACTTCTCACAGGGTAATCTTGTGTTTGATTCAAACTGGAGACCATCCTTTGAGATTTGACAGTCTGTTTGTCTCAAAACTTGGAATAGCCCAGAATTTCTAAACTTGTTTTGAATGATGGTTTCAAGTGTAGTGAAACATGTTTAAAGATGGCTTGAAATGTATTCTATATTAAATACAGTCAATACATCTAAGGAGCTATCTTAATCTTTTTTACTTCTTTTGAGGAAGTTACATTTAGCTCACTCTCCAAATATGTGACTACTGGGCCAGAAGGTTTTTTTTCCTTTAATTCTACTTCTGTGACAGTGTGAGACTTTGTGTTTCTGTGAGGACTTTTGAGAGCACCAGGTGAAAGGTGCTATATAAATAGAAGTGCCTGTTCTATTCCCCCATCTTTTGGTCTTCATAAGATTCTTGTGGATGTCGTGTCTGACATCCAACCCCTCTGACTGGAATGATAGTAACTTAGTGCTGATTTGACTGGTTACGATACACAAGTGGTGGGAAAGTGGGCTTTTAAATATATGTCTCTTCTTGTTGATATCTCTTCCTATAGTTGCACCATGAGGCTTGTCTTATTCTCGCAGTGCAAGCAGTACAACAGATGCTTTTTTGTGATCTTCCGTACTTGACTTCCTTCTTAGAGATAGCCCTGGCGTTTGGGGTGAGTCCTAGATACTGATTTCTGTTCGAAGAGATTAAAGCAAATGATATTTAAAATCTGTGTAATGCCAGCTTGGAGATTTTAGACATATTTAACTTGGTTTTGTTCCCCTTTAGCTTTGCTGACCTTTAATTTATTCTGTTTTTTTAAGAAACAATTGGCAATTAGGTTAAATCACTGGTCTTATTTTGTCTCTTCCTAGAATAACTTTTGGGCTCTGAGGCTGTTATTGGACCATCTTTCCTATGAAGAACATGTTCTCCATGGTACTGTCAACCTGATTTTGAGAGATCTAAATCGTCAGAAAGCAACAATGCTAAAACTGTGAGTAAACACTTTCTCCCTGAAGTTTTGTCTGTTCATGGAAACAGTAAGAGCAGTCCCGCCGCAGTAGCGTTTAGCAGAGATATAAACCTTAGCTCTTTGAAACCAACCAGCCCAGTGCTTTGGGTAAGTCAAGAATGCAAACAAGATGCTAGGAATCGATAGGAAGGTTGTCTCTGAAGAGCTCTGTTCTGTTTCCTGGTTTTGTATTGCTTAGGTGGCAAAACCTTGGTCCCCAGTACGTGGGTGAATTCCTTTGCCTGTTCCTGACATGCAGACATAAGAAGATGCAATCCATTGGCCTGTTCACTCTGAATATTATTACAGAGAACCTGCACATGTAAGTGTGAATCTTCATCATAGCCAAATAGAAAATCATTGTGTTGCAACACCGATGGTAGTTTTCTCTTAATTAACAGTCTTAAGTTACAATTCATTCTTGTTTTTTATTATTGTTAATACTGTTACTAGCAGTGGTAAAGATACTGAACACAATATTTTGGGTAGATTTGAAATTGTTGTGTGTTACCTGTTGCAACCGAATGGCCTTCTCACTTCCCAGTGCCCAACGTTAAGAAAAACATGTTATCTGCTCTTGGCAACCCTGAGCAGTCGTTAAGATTACATACGGTACAGCCTAGTTCTATTACTTTAATATCATTGTCATCAACAACCACCAAAAAACCTAACTGGGATTTACAGCAAAGTAGTTACCGGACTCTAAGGCGGCATAATACTGCATAAAACTGTATTTAGAGAAAATAGTTGAAAGTAGCTCAAAATGTATGTTACTGTGTATCTACAAGAATAAATGGGTGTGCAGGTGTCAACGTTTCTTGTAAACTTGTAAGAAATGCTTCACGTGGTGGTGAGGGAGTAGATCCCCACCAAAAACTGAAGATTCAGGAACATATGTGTGCTGTAATGCAAACTGAGGACAGCATTAAGTTTGTGCCTGTCATTCTTATCCCTTTTTAAAGAGAAGAGAGACCACTTGCTCTGCAGCAGCACAGAGCCTCAGTGGGTGGGGAAAACAGAGTTCTGATAAAGTCCGAGTACTTCATTTAGATTGCAAATTATAATAAAGCACTGACGTGTCACTTCTGAAGCCACTAGCTGTTTATAAGTATAATCCTTGCTCTCCTGTGTTACGCAGTAAAGCATTACGGGCTTTGGAGTGATAGACTCTAATGTGTTGACATAATAGTTTTAAAATGAATTGACTTTGTGGTTGTAGACGGGAAGGCAGAGTAATTGCCTGCTCTGGCGCTTCTAATTCACGCGTAGCTGATGGCAGCAGGGTAATGTTGAGAATTCACTTCTTAGTTGCTGTCTTAAGTGGAAATCATGGACGTGTAAGTTGACCCTCTTTGTGAAAGGCTTCTGTCTCTTTCTTCTCTCCAGCCTTTGCTGTGCGTAGCTGAGAGACTAAAATACCTAATTTCACTCAGTTGTGTATGAGCCAAGTTGTATTTAACAAATTTGTGATTCCATTAATTGTCTTTTTTTGTTTTGTGAGGCTTTACAGTATGCTCTAGCAGTGATCCGAGAGACTCTCGTGAACTGCTGTTTCTTATGGTCTATCTTTGTCTTAATTATTTCACTGTACATCTGATGCTGAAATCATCTCCATTTGGAAGTTGAAGTGAATTGTTGGATTAGCCTTCTTGTAAAGCTTTGATCAACGCGAAACTCAGAGTGGCTGAAACTGGGGGTGGGTGTGTCCTTATGAGAAAATGGATTAAGGATCTATATCTGTTTTTCAGGTGTCCGTGGGCAAAGCATCTTTGCAACTTCTTTCACAATGCAGTGAGTATCTCTGTATTTTAGAATCTAACAACAAAACATATCAATGACAACTGTGTTACCTATCAATTAGATATTTAAATATATCATTTGATATATCATGTATCAAATATATCATACGTCAATGTCAGTTATTATAACGTTGTTATAAAAATTACTGAAGGATACTATTTTTTTTTCTCTGCCCAGGGATTAAGGCACCTGCCCCTTGGCACCGCAGCTCATCATGAAGTCTCGAAGTTCATAAACATTTTTGAAAACGTGTAATTTGGCCAAATCTTCAGGAGTATTTTCCAATTTGCCTTAATCTGAGAAATCTCTTCCTGGAGTCCCTTGAGTTCTGCTTTGGTTGTCATCTCCAAAAACATTCAGCTAACAACTGACTTCAGACAAATCCAAAACTGAAATCCTAGGTTAAGACGGTGAACGGTGGCTGTATTTCAGCAGACGTGTTTTGAAGTTTCCTTTCTTGCAGGTCCATGTACTAAGCAGTTGTTTAAAGAGGTAGCGGGTTTTTTTTTTTTAAAAAAGCCGGTCTGTAGAGAGATGCTGATCGGGGGGGGAATGAGGGGAGAGAAACACGGATGAAGTAGAAAGCGCCACAATCTCAGTTTCTGTTGTGTCGCACAGATGCGCTGTGGGCGAGATGTCTGCAGCAGAACAACTGCCGAGAGAGCGAAAGTTTAAAAAAGAACTGCCTCTCCACCGGTGTACAACAGTACGCATGAAAATGCTGTTTGCACACCCTCTTTAGTGTATAATTATAAAAAATAAACCACGCTTGAGGCTGAAGGACATTAACTGAGGCTTTCTTACTTGCTTCAAGAAACCAGATTCGGGAAGGCCTGCTGCAGTAAATAGCTTGTTTTGTTTGTAAATAAATAAAAATCTAGTTTTCAGGGTTTTCCAGTGCAGGGCTTCGTTTTTATTTTCTACAAAAGATGACTGTTAGACTGTGCTGATGGCTCTCTGGGTTTCTCAGATCCTTATTATGGTGGTAAGTTTAAGAGTTAACTTTTGAACTGTGGAGGTAGAAATAGAGAAATATTTCTAGCCTGGTTTATACTCTTCTGTGCCCTGCTATGATACCCGTCTGCTTTGGTTTGGCAGTCAGGGGACAAAAAAAAATCTGAAGTTGAGATGAACTGTATTTTGCACATTTAAGGCTTTCAGTGGCTTTTGCAGCTTTTGTTACCCTAAATAAGCTACGCTATTCAAGTTTTCTACAAAAGTGTACATGTATCTAAATTGACACAATTTTAAGTAAAACTCTAGAAATTCTGTCGTTACGTTGTCAGTTCTGTTTTGGGGTTTTTTTGTGGGTTTTTTGTTTTGTGTTTTGTTTTTTTGTTGTGGTTGTTTTGTGTGGTTTTTTTCTTTAAAACAGTGGCTGTACCTTTATCTCGTGCTGTCCAAGTTCAGCCAGGACAAGCAGAGGTCAGTGAAGCCCCCTGGTACTCGGGAATCTGGTTCTGCTGACTGTCGGCAGGGCTGGCCACGCGCTGTCCCGTTCTGCTCTGTGCTCCTCAGGATGCACTGCGGTGTTTCATCCCGGTTTCCAAGAGAGGTGTTTCTTGCATGTTCCTAATAATATGATCTTTCTCGCCTCATCTGCTTGAGTAGTAGAAGGTCCCTGTTGCTGTTATGGCTGAGGGGGAGAAAAAAGAGGGGGAAGGAGGCTGCAAACACTAATCTTCTTCGTAGGTGCTGTATCTGTGTTCTCCGCTTTGCCCTGGTGTAAAAGCTTTCCTCCTTTCTCGACGTGCAGTCTGGCCTGTAAATGCTCTCTGGGTGCTCTCCCAGTAATGGAGAGGCTGGGCAGCCGACTGCCCTGAAGGCTCCTGTTCTCAACCCTCCAAATTTTGTTAGCCCCCGAGCATGCTGACAACGGGGGCTTACATCGTGCTTTGTCACTTTGCTGTGGGTGCAAAGAGACAACAGCAAAACCAGGCAAGCCTTAATATCAGACTGAGCTTGGACTGGGCGTAGACTTCAGCGTCGCCCTGAACGGTGCCCCGTGCGGGACTGGGCACAGGAGGGAGAGGGAGCAGGTGAGGGCAGGGCTTTTGTTACCCCTTCGAGCCTGGATTTACCATCACGAGGAAAGGCTAGGAACTGCTTATTTACTGTAAGTAAATGGCATATCTATTCATTGTCTACTTCTCCATTTTAATGAATTATAGCAGCCCTTATAGTGAGGATTATACTGTGGATAATGATATAATCTTTTATGTACGAGGAAGAGACTTTCTCTGAAGATCTGCACTTGACTTTGGACATGGGTTGGATAGACAGGTATAGTCACTACAGTCAACCACCGTAGCAAACATCTTCCCGGTACCCTGAGACTACGACTCGTATAACCCCAAAGGTGAATTGAAGGCTGATGTCTGCTTTGCTCCAGGTACAGTTGAGACGAACAGAGCTCATTAAAAATTGAAATGCATAGTTTGGAGAGGAAAATGGGCACCTAGAGCTCTCATCCAAGTATTGTATTTTAGCAAAGAGAACTCTGCTGCTTTAGCAAGTGTGTGTACAGCTGGTACTGCCAAACAATAAATAGAACATTTGCAAGTAAGTGCCTGTATCGAAAATAAAATTTCATCTGAAAATAGTGAAGCTGTCTTATGTTCTTAAAGTCTGGAATGGGAATAACGTCATCTAGCCCAGGAGCGTAAGGTACCTGTGGGCCCAGGGGCTGCTTGGTTGGGGTCAGCAGTTAGCAGACCCCTTCGGCGTACGTGCATCACCGTTGGTTACGGATGGGGTTTCTGAAGTACAGTGCTAATAAACTGTTTGCGGGCCAGAGCGGGGAGTTCTCGGTGTGGTATTTCAGAACAAACAAACAAATAAACCCCCCTGCCTAGTGCTGCTGGTAAACCCCCGTGGCTCTTCCACCTCTGCTCAAGGGGGAAACGGTGATGCACATGCCAGCAGGGTACGCTTGGAGAACGAGGCCGAGATCTTTCTGGATCTGAACAGAGAACGTGAAGCGTGAAGTGGGCAGCTTTACTGTCTCGGCGATGTGGGCAATGGCGGATTTGTACGATAAAATTGTCAGTGAGCATGTTCATGGCCACAGCGCCAGCGGAGCTGGGGGTGATGTACAGGGTGATGTACCCCAACCATGCGTTACCCTTCCCACCCTCGCCTGCTGAGTGGGCTGGGAGAGTGCTGATACCATTTCTACCAAGGACACTAATTAACCTGCTAAATGAGTTTATCCCTTCAGAGTGCGCACCGGAGAACTGTTATCTAAAGCACCATCCCAAAGAGAGCCATAATTAGCAGCTGGCGCTGAGGGCAGACCCCGTGCTTCCTAGGGACAGCTTCTGCAAGGTGGTGGGGGCTGTCGGCTTGGTGCTCGTCCCCCACCCCCAGAGAACATCCCTGGGTCCTGCGCAGCGTAGCAGCGGGCTATGTTTGTCACACACAGCATCCCCTCCCCTGCCCGTGGACCAGCTCCTGCCTGGGGAGTTCCTCTCCCCCTGCTCTCGGACCTGCTCCCACGTTGCACCTAAATAACGCGGGGACAGCAATAAGGGACGGGATGCAAGTCATTGCACAGCGACACGGGGGAGTCGCACGCCTCCAGCTGCCTGCCAAACCAAAAATACTCAGTTTTAATAACTGGACCAAGCAAAGTAAAAAACCAGCTCGTTGCTGGCTGCCAGATTAACAGATGGCTACAATCATTAATATTGCAAAACTTCAGGAGTTCATAATTCTTTAATCTACAAAGCCGGTGGGGGTAGCTAATGCGGGCCCTGCAATCTGCCATGCTGGGGGCTGCCGCCCGCCCACCCACCGGGGCCGGGTCTGTCCCAGACCCCCCGAGGGCTGGGCAGATGTTGCCTGGGTCCTGCCTGCCTGGCCAAGAAAAGGCTCCCTGCCTGCATCAGGGGAGCCCGCCACACGGGCAGATGCTGCCTGCAGGAGGGATGAGCTTGATGAACCCCCCCCCGGACTTAGGGCTGGTGTTGATGGTAGCTCCTAAATTCGCTGGGTGCTGCCCCGCACCCACGCGGCTCTGCCGGCCCCGCTCAGCCCTCGCTGCCGTCAGATTGCAGAAAATCCATGGAAATCCAGTAACCCGTCTCCAGTGTCATTTTATCGTTAAACCCAAGCCTTTCCCATAATTGTTTGGAGGCAGCGCGGGGAGATTACGATTGATGTCAACAGCCAGATAATCTGCCGTCAGCGTTCGGTATCGCTGACCTCGTTAATAGGCGCCGGTGGCGTTTGGAGCACGGGGATGGTGCCCTGAGCTGCAGCCGCCCCAAAGGAGCCCCGCGCCATGCGGCTGTTTGCAACGAAGAAAAGCCCAGCGCTGGTATTGCAATAAAAGTATATATTTATTATTTCCTTTGGGTGAAAAACCTCGTGCTGCGGCTGCAGCGGCCTCAGGGTCCGACCCCAAACAGCTCCATCGATCCCTGGCCAAGCCCCAGACCCCAGCATCCTCTCGGAGAAGGGCGGGGGGCCGGCGGCTCCATGAGGCTGCCAGGGAGGCTCTTACCACTATCGATCGCCCGCGGAGGCTGAGGGCTGGGAGGGGAGCCCGGCTCGGCCCCGGCCCCGCGCGCTCATCACCGTCCCGCTCTTGGCGCGCTCTTGGCTGGTGTGGCTTCTCCTTGGTCCAAGTCGGTGTTGCAGGGAGGGCATCGGCCTCCTGCTCGGTAGAAATGGCTCTGGTGGTTTAATGCTATAAAGGCTCACTGGAAGAGGCATCACGCACACGCATGTGTGTGTGTGTGTGTATAAAAGTATGTATTATATGTGTAGATGTATTATATTTATGTACATTATATAATATATTGTATATAAGACATAATAAATATGATTGATATGATATAAACTATATCATATCTACATACACACATACATATAATATGAATATATATTTTTCCACAATCATACATATTGTGTGTGTGTATATATATGCATATATATATGTTTTGTGGGTTTTGTGTGTGTTGTGTGTGTGTGTATATGCGCACACATACTAAATCATATTGTATAGATACACACACATATATTCCACCTCCATTTCATCAAATGCCCAGGGCACCACAGGGGATTTGCTCCCTGAGACCAAGCTCAGGCTCCAGCGACTGGGGGAACCCCGGGTTTGGCAACACCAGCCTCAGCTGGTTTTGGGGGGCGGGAATTGGACAAATCCAGCCCAGGTGTGTTGCAGAGCGGACAAACAGCCACCCGTACGGACACAGGTCCTGGACCACCGCGGCCGGATGGGCTCTTGGGGCAGGGTTTGGGCAGTTTCTCTTTGTGGAAATCTTGCTTTGCTTTTTTTTCCTAAGCAGCAAAGCTTACCTGAAGTTTTTTTTTAATTGGTTGTTTAATGAAGGGTAGGGGTGGGGGTTATTTCTCACTTCTTTGTGGTTTTGCTTTTGTTTCAATTACATATTGCCTTTAATCAGCTAACAACTGTCAGTGGGCTTTTTCCCCTCCCTGTCAGTCAGTCA